CGGGACGCATGCGGGCGGCAGCACTGGGGCCTTCGGTGGGGCTCCCTATGGGGCCACGAAACGTGTGAGGGGTGTGCCGAATTGGGTGTGCGGGACGCATGCGGGCGGCAGCACTGGGGCCTTCGGTGGGGCTCCCTATGGGGCCACGAAACGTGTGAGGGGTGTGCCGAATTGGGCGTGCGGGGCGCATGCGGGCGGCAGCACTGGGGCCTTCGGTGGGGCTCCCTATGGGGCCACGAAACGTGTGAGGGGTGTGCCGAATTGGGTGTGCGGGACGCATGCGGGCGGCAGCACTGGGGCCTTCGGTGGGGCTCCCTATGGGGCCACGAAACGTGTGAGGGGTGTGCCGAATTGGGTGTGCGGGACGCATGCGGGCGGCAGCACTGGGGCCTTCGGTGGGGCTCCCTATGGGGCCACGAAACGTGTGAGGGGTGTGCCGAATTGGGTGTGCGGGACGCATGCGGGCGGCAGCACTGGGGCCTTCGGTGGGGCTCCCTATGGGGCCACGAAACGTGTGAGGGGTGTGCCGAATTGGGTGTGCGGGACGCATGCGGGCGGCAGCACTGGGGCCTTCGGTGGGGCTCCCTATGGGGCCACGAAACGTGTGAGGGGTGTGCGGGACGCAAGCACTGGGGCCTTGTGCGGGACGCATGCGGGCGGCAGCACTGGGGCCTTCGGTGGGGTGGGGCCACGAAACGTGTGAGGGGGGGCCACGAAACGTGTGAGGGGTGTGCCGAATTGGGTGTGCGGGACGCATGCGGGCGGCAGCACTGGGGCCTTCGGTGGGGCTCCCTATGGGGCCACGAAACGTGTGAGGGGTGTGCCGAATTGGGTGTGCGGGACGCATGCGGGCGGCAGCACTGGGGCCTTCGGTGGGGCTCCCTATGGGGCCACGAAACGTGTGAGGGGTGTGCCGAATTGGGTGTGCGGGACGCATGCGGGCGGCAGCACTGGGGCCTTCGGCGGAGCTCCCTATGGGGCTACGAAGCGCTGTACTGGGCGGGTGAAACGCAAGGAAGAGGGGGAGGAGGGAGGAGGAGGGGGAGGAGGAGGAGAGGAGGAGACGCGGGGCACCGTCTCTTCAAAACGAGGACCCAACACCACAGGATGGTTGGGGAAAAACCTATTGAGAAGTAGATCGAGAGAGCTGAGACGGACAAGTCTTGGCCGCGGCTATGTTCCAATCCCCGTTATATCCCTGCCTTCGGGAACCTGAGCATGGGCCCTGTGTTGGCACCTGCCGTGGTGGGGTATTTCTCGCAACATGTGGCCCATCATGGGTACGTTGATACCAACAAGCGACGCCGGTTGTTTTGCAATTTGTCCAAACACATATGGTCGATCCGAAACAGATGGGCCCCAGGTGCTCTTGCAAGATGGGCCAACATTGGTAGGCGGCCAACTGTTCGGAACATTATGTGGGTGGCTATTCTTGCAACCTGGGGAGTCTTCAGGCACTGGGTTGTGTCTAGTAGCACTCCACGTCTCACACGGGGGACCAGCAACTACCCCGCCACCCATCCCTCCGCCATGAGTTTCATTAACCATCTCGGGATCAGTCATGTCGCCATACTTTAGTTAGGCTGTGGGTAACATCGGTGGATAAAGCAGCAACGGGAACAGGATATTGCATCACCAGTCTTTCAAACCACTCCTGAGCGTCCCCTGGTCGACGTTGGCCCGAGAATAGGTGCAGCAGGTAACGGTGGGGGCGGGGAGGGGGGAAAGACAGGAAGAGAAAAAGGGAGGAGACAGAGGAGGAGGGGGAGGGCCCAACCGGCTCCGCCACGTTAATCTCAAGTCCATGAACTCTTGGGCCTCTCATGGGGCCATTTACTCTCCAGGGAGGGCGGTGAGCAAAGTTATTAGTTAGCCAACGGGCACGGTTTGCCTGTTGCTCTTCGCTTCGCTCTTCACGTGCGCAGACAATCTCGACATCCAGAGGACTTTCTTCGCCTCTTCCATCTCCTGTGAGTTGTACGTGAATGATCTGAACGTGTTTGTGATTTCGTGCGGGCGGGGCAGTGTAGCAGGAACGAAGGTGAGTGCTCTCTTGCCACGCCCGCTGCGAGTTTTCGGCTCGAGGGCGCATGAGACCCGAGGTGGGTGTCAGTTTCCTGGCCGTCGGGATTGTTCGTGAACTGGTATTTCTTTTATGTCGCGCCCGACCAGACTGTCCAGATTGCTTCTGCGAGTGTCCACCGCTGCCAGAGTGCCCGAGCTGTCCAGCCTGCGTTTGTCCAGATAGTCCTCCTCCACCGCCGCCAGTTTGTGCGGTGCTACCAGATTTCTTCAACAAGTCATTCGCTGTTTTGCCCGCGGAGTCGGAGAAGCATTACTGGCTGGTGGGTTTCAGCGGAGCCTTACCAGGTGATCTCTGTGGGGTGCTGATTACACGGTGCTTCTGTCCGCGACGTATTGGAAGTCCCAGTGTCAGAGGCCGAGGACGGATTGAGAAGTGATGGCGGAAGTGAGTGAGGATATTCCAGGGGCTTGCGCTTCGGTGTGGTATGAGGGTGATAACTACGGCCATGAGAGGCGGTTGCTACGGGAGGTGAAGGCAGGCGGGGACAAGAAGGTTTGGGTTGGGGCCACGCCTGATTTTGATGTGTATGCAGAGGAGCACAACACGTCAGGCGATCGAGGAGCGGTCAGGTCCATGCTACTTCGACGCCGAACAGTTGGTCGTGCGGCGCCGAGGCCGCTGTACAGATTCAGCGAGACGGTGCCGTTCGAGAAGTTCAAAGTGTTGCGCGCCGACGCCAAGGCTTACTTAAACGAGGGGGGCCTTGAGGAGGTTCAACACCGCAGGGTCTACGACGAGGTGCCGCTGCGCGGGTGCCGCTGCGCGTGCCGCTGGCGGAAGGCGCGGCGCCGCTGGAGGGAGGCGGCGCAGGGCCTCCTGCGGCGGCGAGCGGGCTGGGGGTGGCGGCTGCTCCTGGTTTTGTGTGGGTGGTCTCAGAGCCCGCGTTCGACGTGGACCACGAGTTGGCGCGGCTGGGCTCGGAGGTGCCCGACTCTGCGGTTGCGGCCAGGCTGGGCAACCGTGGCTTCGCGAAATTCAGCGAGGTGATCGCGGCGCTGGAGCAGATCAGCTCGGAGAGGTTCGACGCGTACGCGGAGGAGCGCAAGGGCCTGCTGCACTTGGGGCCGGGCGGTCCGCCTACGCCCACAGGCGAGGAGGAGGCCCCTACTAGCCTCGCGGCGCTGTGCGGGGCCCTGAGCGGGCCCACGGCGCCGGCAGGCCAGGGCGCTCCGAGTCCCAAGGTCGAGGAGGACGCGCGCACCTTGCCGGTGAAGTATAACGCCCAGGGGACTGAGAGCGAGTTTGGGTTGGCGCAGTCAAGGAGCTCGTCGAAGACGGTTGTTCAGATTGGCCCTTGGATGGGCCGCGTATTGTTCTCTGGCTGATGGGCTCGTTTGCGCAGTTGTCGATGGTGCCGACTATTTGGCTGGAGAGACAGTTGCAGACGGCGGGGTGGGGTGAGAACGACAGATACATCCATGGGATGCGCGTGATGGTGGAGGCGTTTGAGTTGGCCATTCAGTATGATCAATCAAGTCAATGTTGCATCCCTGGCCGTTTGAGAGATTGAGCAGACGTCGGCAGGCGATTATCAAGGCTCCTGCGAAGAACCCGCCGGCGCCCAACTATGAGATTGCGGAAAAGTTCTCAGGCTACAACCGCCGGCATCAGATGATTGCGCCCTCGCTTCGTTCGCTTGTCGCCAAGGAGGTCAGGGAGGAGGCGGAGATCGATGAGCAGACCAGCAAGTCCAAGACGCTGGAGGATTAGGCTCGAGTAGCTTCGAAGAGAAAGAACAACAAGGATAAGGACAAGGACAAGGACGGCGACGGTTGATGTCCTTGCCTTGGATCCCGACAGATAGCGTCGACGCCAGTCGCCACGGCGCCGACGCGTGCCCAGGCGAGAGCGATGCAAAACGGGATGAGACTGGAGGCTATTCGCGGCCAGAATATGTTCCTCTCTTTCCGCTTGAATTTTGTCAAGAGTATTCTCCTACCCCCGCTCGTTCGTCTAGGAGGTGTCGGAGGAGAGCCAATCTCAGGTGTCATAGGTCGCGCGAAACTGGAGAGGTCACGCAGGGCCTCAACTGGTTGCGCGACCGAGCGCAGAGTCCCCTCGTCGACCCTGTCGCGGTTGATGAGGTGCATAGTTTTGTTCCGGATCGAGCTGCTGAACAGCCGCCCGCCCCCGCTTTTCTGGACCAGGAGGGAGCCGTCCGCGAGCTCCTCCTCGGCGAGTGTGGTTGCGACCACAGTGCGTCCACAATCATCGAGTTCGATGGGCACCTCGTCTCGCTGCCTGAGGGGGTCCAGGACAGGGGTCTGATCCAGGATCCGGTTTCCGAGGAGGACAGGGAGTCGGTGGTGAACCTTAGAGAGAGCATGATGAGAGATGCGAAGGAAGCGATGCTAATGCGAGAGCTCGGCGAGGACATCGCCCCATATTTTGATCAGGGGCTGCGCGCACATCGGCGTGAGCACGTGCAGTTTTTGAAGATGTTGCGCTCGAGAGGTCTAGTTCGCTGGACCACCCCGCCAAAGGAGTTAGCCGCGCCTTTCTCCGCGAGGAAAGAGGACGGAATACAGCGCATCATCACCGATGCGAGGCGCGCCAACCAGCTCTTCAGGGACCACCCGAGCACTCTTCTCGCGACGCCGGAGAGTTTCGCAAGGTTTGGGGCGGAGGAGGGGGGGACCTGCACGAGGCCTCGCTCGATGTTGACACTTTTTTCCACAGGACCGGGATCGATCAGCAGTATAGGGGGGCGCTTCAGTCCGCCGCCTGTTCGGGCAAAAGAGCCGGGACTTTCCCACGTTCACGGGGTGGGGGGTTCAGATGGCGATTTGGCATGGGTTTCCACGGCCGTTCTCCCCATGGGCTTCTCCTGGTTGGTTTTCTGGGCGCGGCGTATCAATGCGCGCCTGGTTCGGGAGGCCTCTGGGGTGGAGGGCGCGCCCTCGGTCGAGGACAGGGGTGGCGGTCTCTTCGTCGGAAAGTCCGGCCCGCCCATTTTCTACGTTTACGCGGGCAACGCGGGCGTCGCGGGGTCGAACAAGACAGAGGTCCAGAAGTCGCTAGATAACACCCGCGAGATCCTATATGCTAACAAGATGCAGTGTCATGAATTTCAGGAGGCGGGGCAAGTACGGGAGGCCGTAGGAATCGATTTCAATTGGGCGCTGGGATGTTTCAGACCTTCGGGGAAGCGCGACTGGAAGATTCGTCCTTGTCTTGAGGCGTTTCTGGAGTGTCCTGAGGTCTCGGGCAATGGACTGGAGGTGCTCTTGGGACACTCTACGCACCTCGCTATGCATCAAAGGTCACTGTTGTCTTGCTTCGCGTCGGTCTATAAGTTTGCACGACAGCCCAGGCACTCGCGGGCGCCGTTGTGGGAGACGGCGGGAATGGAGTTACGGGCTTTTCTCTATCTCATGCCGTTGATCCGTTCTGACTGGAGTCGCATTTAGATGAATCAGGTGGTTGCGCGCGACCCCTGCCCCGAAGGAGCGGGGGCGCGCGCGCCCGTCAGACAGTCGAGCTGGACAGCGCCCCGCGGCAGAGCGCAGGCGAGGGCTCGGTTCGTGCGTCGCGATGCGGCGCAAGCTCGGGGTCACGCGCTTTCTTGTTTACATCCCGATGACCCCCTGGCGTTCGCGACGCCCGCCCCTGTCTTGGATGAGGTGCCGGAGATTTGGGAACAGGACGCTTCGTTCCCAGAGGTTCCGTTCGCGGGCCTGGTCGGGAAGGACTGGAAGGTGATAGTACGAAAAGCCTGGAGTAGGAAGATGGCGGTGCGCGAGGGGGAGGCCAGGCCTGGAGTCTTGGGCGCGGGCAATGCGGTGTTTTTCTCCGCGAGTTTCTGGTCGGCGATTTCCGGCGCTGGGAGACAACCTCGGGGTCGCGCTCAGTTTTGGGGCTCGCGCCTTCCCGCATCTGGCCCAGGCGCGACGGATGGCAGCGATCTCGCTGTCACGAAACATGTTCCTTGGATTCAGATCAGCGGGTTCAATATTGCTGATGGGCCCTCGCGCCGACCAGAAATACAACGATGGGAATTTCCTGCAGCTCAAGGCCCCCCCTGAGTTACGTCAGATGGCGCGGGGCCACCCCATAGCTATATTGGCCGAGCATGAGGCTGAGTTACGCTATAATTCTCGATTGGTGTGGGCGCGGGATGGCCTTGGTGAGGAAGTCCAAGAGAGCGACGGAGGCAGAGGGGAAGGAGATGCGGGTTCTGCTTCGTCGGACGGAACCTCTACATGGAGACGAGGTGGACGGCCACGTTCCAGAAAAGGCGCCTGCAGGAGCCTCTGTCGGTCCAGCTAGAGCAGGCACAGCTGGCTGCCTAACGAGTCGATTCGGACGGCACGACCTCGGAGGAGGATGGGCACCCGCTGATCGAGGACAGAGTTCCCCGGCGCAAGCAGCACCTTGCGAAGATGGCCGAGGGGCCAGATATGCAGCACGTGCTTGCACTAGAACGAAGCCCGGTCGGCGAGCGAACCTGGACCCAGCATCGCAGACTGCGTCGAGGGCTTGTCGATCACGTCGAGCAGCAGAGGTTCAAGACCGACAAGGTCCAAGGCTTCCACGTGGCCATCGTTGCGCTCATGACTCACATGTATGTGCTGGGTTACGATGCGGGTCTAGGCCACAAGTTGCCGCCACGGAGTTCTTCCTGCCACGCTTCGGGAAGCTGGGGGATTTGTCGCTGCCGAGAGCCTGGAGGGCGGCAAGAGGGTGGGCCAAGCTGGCTCCGCCCCGCAGTCGTCAGCCCCTCGCTTGGCCTACGGCGGCGTCTCTGGCTATTCTTGCTCGCGGGAGGACACTTGGACATGTGCCTCTGGGTGCTCGTTGCTTTCGGGGCGTATCTCAGGCCTTGGTCCATGATGCAGTTGACGAGGGGGTCGTTGGTGGCCCCAACACTGCGAATCGATTATCCGCGGCGAATCTTGGCGCATCGGCCCGACCTCCACCAGGTCTCGAAAGCGGGCGCCCAGGACGATACGGTTTTCTGGGACGTCTGTGGGCTCGAGTGGATGAAAGACGTGTTCAAGATCTTGTCGGTCGGAAAGAGCAACGATCCTCTGTGGGAGTTCACGTATCCTGAGTTGGTGCGTGATATAAAGAAATGCGGTCTGATGTTGGGTCAAGAAATAGTGCCCTATCCATTGAGACATGCTGGCGCGTCTTGGGACATTTACAAGACAAATCTGAACCTTTTCGACGTCCAGCGCCGCGGTGGATGGATGTCTGCAAAGAATGTGCAAAGCTACGAGAAGTCAGGAATGATGATGAAAGACTACGCCCTGCTTCCTCTTGCGTTGAGAGCACACATGGAGGACGTCACTGCAGCCTCACCCGAAGTCATTATGAACAGCTTGTTGTTCCCCACCCACCCGCGTTCTCTGTCACACGTGCTCGTCAACGTTCTCCCTGTCCTCCCTGTCCCTCCACATAGAGTACACAATGAGATGGGGTTGTGATATGGGCGAGGAGCGCCGTGCCCCTCGCCAGCCTGGTCGTGTGCAGACAGTCTCGTGCCGGCGCTGGTATCAGAGTCTACAGGAAACGAAGGTAGAACACGCGGGGGATTATGTGAGTTGCACGTGAATGATCTGAGCGTGTTTGTGATTTCCGTGCGGGCGGGGCAGTGTAGCAGGAACGAAGGCGAGTGCTGTCTTGCCACGCCCGGTGCGAGTTTTCGGCTCCCCGTGGCCTGCCTTGTGCCACTTTTATTTTGTCATATCGGGCGAAGAGAGCCGTGCCCCTCGCCAGCCTGGTCGTGTGCAGACAGTCTCGTGACCGCGCTGGCATCAGAGTCTACAGGAAACGAAGGTCGAACACGCGGGGGGATCATCCTCCTCGTCCTCCTCCTCCTCCTCCTCCTCCTCCTCCTCCTCCTCCTCCTCCTCCTCGTCCTCCTCCCACTCCCCCTTTTTTTCTCCTTCTAGTTTCCCTTTCTCCTCGTCGTCCTCCTCCTCCACCTACACTTCCTCCTCCTGCTCCTCCTCCTCTTCCTGCTCCTCCTCCTCCTCCTCCTCTTCCTCCTCCTCCGCCTCCTCCTCCCCTTTCTCTTCCTCATCCTCCATGGGATCCCTGGAGGGGCGCCCGTCAACTTCTGAACCCCTGGCATCGTTTTGCGAAGGTTCGGCCAGAAGCAGTGACCCGCCCACCCCCCTCACTCATTCATCATATCATTATCAGCAAGAGGTGGCGAGAAACGATGCGGGGGTGGCGACACGGCGACGCGGGGCCCGACGACTGGCGACTTGGCGCTCGGGCAACCCAGCGACTTGGCGACCCTGCGATTCCGCGCCGCCGCCCCGACCTTATCAGAATTCCAAACCGCCCCGATTGCAGTTAAGACGCTGAAGCTCTGAAATAAGGACCGCTGTGGGCTCATGAGGGGCCCCGGAATGTCGGGTCGTTCCTTAGGCTTCTGTCGCGGAAGTTAGTGGTTTAGGTCCGCCGTGGCCAGAAAAGCTCTTTCGTTCCACACTATGCGTTCCTTATGGTAACACGATGAGTGTATTTCATGATCTTTGTTCCGTTCTGACTGACTCACTCGGAACGCCCCAGGTGACCCAAGCGAACCCCAAATATCGCCCCATGAAGGCCCCCAGCCAAGAGCCCGTCCGAGATGGTCTCGGAATGGCCCCCAAAGCCCTCGCAAGCGTGACCCGCTCGCTCAAGCCAGCCCGGGCTGACAGCCAAATGCCCTAAGAGGCGTTCAGAGGCCCCTCCGAACCCTCTAAATCGCGAACTGGTCGTCGAAGCCACACCAGGCTGGCAGCACGACGGCTGATGGACAAAGTGTTGCGTCTCTTACGCTGAATTGTGTGAACACCCCCCGCGCCCCCAATTTGACATTGGCGGGCTGCGCCGCGATGTGTCGATCTGTCGACTGGACGAAATCCTGCGCCTTGCTAGCGCTGCCAACCAACATTGAATCGGGGGCAGGGGGGCGCGCTGAGGTTTGCGCTTACACCACGGTCGCGAGGGTGGTGCAAGATGTTGTCCATCATCTGGACGGCCCCAAGAAACTTCCAGAGGTTCCCAGCGAGAGACCACAAGCGCCTCCTAACATCGATGACGAATCGACCCCGAAAGGTATTCAAGTACCGCCTCCGCGTGAGTAAGCAAGAGGGAGTGATACGACGCAGGAAGCGGGGATGGTAAACCACTTTTCCGACGAGGAAGAATGTGTTCGATCAGAGGTCATCTACGCCTGGCGTGCTGGCCAGATGTACGCATGGGTTGCACATAGTTGGGGTGTATGTATCGTATTTGTGATTTGCCGATAGCTCATACGCAGGTTACTCGAGCCATTTAAAGAGCATCTTGCTTCGACCGTTCGGTGGCAGATGGTCCTCACAGGTTGCGCCTAACCTCCCCCGATTGATTGTAATTTCCCACGCGTTGCTTGCAACCCGAAGGAAGAGCCATTGCACATGTTCCTCACACGTCCCCGAGAAGTAATGCCAGATCCTGGTTCGTTTTCCACGAGCATTCCGAAAACCCGCAGCTGGGCTCGCTCATGATTATGTTCGCGTTCGCAGTTTGGGATGTTGCAAGAGTATTGTTTTCTCGGGAGGTCAGCAGGGACGTGTGGAGAAATGCTGTATACTTGGGCGTGCTCCCAGCTCCACGAGGGAATGTTAGATATTCCCACTGTCTTGTGCACGAGCTTTAGATGAGAACTGGGCAGGCTGACGTTGGTTAATCATGAGCATGTATTCGATGACGCGCAATTGAAAGCCACGCAGTGGCGCTCTTCCATTTAGTTGTCGCGTCTATGCGCGATACATCCGCGTCCTTGGTCTGGCGGCGCGCGGCGCGTAGATGTTCCAGACGCAATGGTAGGTGCGTGGCTACCGCGAGGAAGTGGAACGAACATTCGTTGTGATCGGGTAATTGTCAGCTGGGCCCGCGACCCACCCACGATTCACCCACCAGGCCATTTTCCCCGCCGACCCGCAAAGAATCCATCCGCGACCCACCCAACTCGTTTTGAAGAAAATGTACCTGAGGGGGGGTGTTCTGCAATGGCTTTGGAAAACGCAGTCGCGCGCCCCGGCCGGGGCGCCCCCCACTCTTTCTTCGCAGTTGCGGGGGGCAGCGTGTATTTAGTCCCCCGCAGATGCGGATACGAGTGAGGCAGCATAGGGGTTTTGGACGGACAGTGTAGCTCTCCGTGGCCAGATCAAAGCAGCCCGCCGCGGGCGATGATGATTTCTCAGAAACGCAATGTGGACGCGTTGGCCCGACGCGGGCG